TGTGAAGCAGGCCCTGGGCTGGATACGGGTATCGGGCCAAACACAGGCCGAAAGCAGTTTGGCACATGCAACCACTTCAGGCCCAAGGCCTGCTCCTAGCGTGCTGGGCCTCAGGCTACCGGGGACTACTGGAAGCTTCCTAGCACTGGACGCAGGGAGGCCACTTCGATATAGGAAAGGGCCTGCCTCCTCATTCGTCATTCGCGTGCTGGCTGCATGCTGTGCTATTTGCTGGCTGGCGCCTACGCTCTCACGGGCGAGCAGGGAAGGAGCACGCAGCCATAGCCGAGCTGCGCTGTTGTAAGCTGGGTGAGGCGCAGGGTGATCCTTGGGTGCTAGTGGCATCTGTGAGTTGGGGAACAAGGTTGTGAGTGTAGCGCGAGACATACCTGGTGCTGGAAGCGTGCGACATTGGTCGCCATATGCTCGTACTTTGGGAATGTTGTTGACGTCAACTTTCGGCTTCGTAGTATAGGCTAGATAGGATCTGCCACATGTAGTCTGGGCGTCGCGCGCCAGATAGGATATCAACTTTGGTTCTTCATTGATGATGATGGGACTATTTCGGCATTGTCAATTATGAACTCTTGGTGTGTTTTCTTATTTGGTGAATCTCATGATGCAATTCTGCTGTTGGTTCGAGGTCAAGACTATCTGGACTCACATGTATGATGCTGTTTGATTGCTGAAGTTCGCTATTGCTCATCTTCCTTGCATTTTTTTTTTTTTTTTTTTTTTTNTTGCTCATCTTCCTTGCATTTTTTTTTTTTTTTTTTTTTTTTTTTGCGCAAGCGCCTTTGGTTAGCGCTACCGGTCCAAGCTGCGCTATTTCGCGCAAGCTACCGACCCAACCCCGTCGGGCGCTCTTTCCCGCGGGGACCCCGCCCCGAGCCCACGCGACTGCCGACTCCCGCCCAACGCGCCGGCGCCCAGCCGAGCTGCGCTCCGGGGCAGCAAGAGCGACCACGCTGCCATCGCCCAGCGCCATCAACCATCGACACACCACCTCCCACCATCTTCGTTCAATCTGCACCCCGCGTAGGGAAGGCAGGGGAACCAGGAGCACCAATAAGCTTTCGAGCTGCACGCCAGCTTCGACTACCATCACTGCCACATAAATTGGCAGAACACCTGGCAAAGGAGAAGCAGTTGACTTCAACAGACCAAGAACAAGATTTCGCACGTCTGGCAACTCGCTTCAACGACGACTTGTCATCCATATCAAGCATCCCACCGTCACAATCCAACCCCACCAAGGGCCTTGGGCAGCCACCGCGTGGCGAACCCAAGCAGAATCCAAGGAAAGTAAGCAACGACAAGTCTTCTCCTCCCCCCCCCCCCCCCCCCCTCTCTCTTTCTCGAAACCAACCACTAACCACGCACATCCGTATCCCCACTATCCTTCCCCCGTCCAAACCTTTGATCATCCTCACTTCAACCACCACACCCTCCCACCTCATCGCAGCATCCTACATCTCCTGTGACGGGCCTGAGGCTGAGGGAGAGCCGAGGGAGAGGAGAGAGAGAGGGAGAGAGTGCGAGCACACACACACACACACACACTCGACACGACTGAGGGTCGGACGCAGACGCAGTGGCAAGGCACAAAGTCGAAGTCTTGGATTCCGAATGCCGAAACAGCAAGTCCCACTGAGTACGAGTACAGCAGCAGAAAACTGGTACGAGACTGGTCCCGTACCGTACGGGGAGCCGGTATAAGTACCGGTGACACGTTCGGTACCAGGGACATTTCTCCAAAGGCCCCGAGGGCAGAACTGAAAAATGCAGTATTTGAAAGTGGCACCCGAATTGCAGCATGGCGCCAATTGTCCAAAATCCTACGGTACCAAAGGAGGGGTTTGGGAAAAGGGTGCCAGGCCGAAAATGGGATGCAGCCGAAACAACAAAAAGATGGGATCGAGCCCTGGCGGAGTCTGTAACACTATCCCCTCCCTCTAGAAGGCAACGTCCCGACTGCCAAAAATCATGAAGCAACGCTGAAATCTGTGAAGGACGGGATGGGGCCGATGACTGGTTAACAAGTCGGAAGGGAAGAGGAGTATAATGTGGGTGGCATGGGCTGCGGGAGTAAGAGGGAACAAGGTTTGGTACCGGTGAACAGGGTTGTCCTACTGATGAACTAGGGGGGTTTGCATGGAACAGGGTAGTCCTACAAATGAACTAAAGGGACGGCAGGGAGCAGGGTAGTCCTACTGATGAACTAAGGGGACTGCGTGGTTTGCTATAGGTTAAGGGGGAACATAGTTCAGGGAACAGGGAACTTCTATTGATGTTCTACTGGGCAAGGGAAACGGTGTTAAGGAAAACAGGGTATTATTGATGTTCTAGTGGGTACGGGGAACAATGGTTAGGGAAACAGGGATCTGCTAATGATGTTCTACAGGGTTGTCAAAGTCAGGAAAAATAAAAATGAAAATGTTTGTTCAGGATGCAAGGGCTGGTGTGTCCGAAGGAGTCGGAAGCAGAATCTCACGTAGGAACAAAGTGTCCAAGTGTCTTGAAAGGGGGTCTGCAGCGGTCTTGATCAGGTCTTTGGAGTAGGTGGTAGAAGCGGTCTTCAACGGCTGCAACAGGTAGAAGTCCAAGAAGCGTAGTATTAGCTCTCGTGTCAAAGTCCAAGTGCTAGGGTGCGTCCGGTACACGAACTGCAATGAGGTCTGATCTGGAAGCAAGGAAGTCGTAGACTGATGCAAAGATCCATGTCACAAGTTGCTGCTCCAGTAAGTCCGCGAGTCGGGGATGCCGGCCAATGAAACAGCATGGTGGCCAAACCAGCTGCATAATCTCCATGAACAGTGAGGCAGCAGGCCATCGTCCTCGTGCGCTTGCCATTAGATCCTTTATCGTCGGCGTCACGCAGGTCCACAAGCATTGGACAAGAGAGACAAGGTAGGGGAGAGGACAGATGGGACAAGGCTAGGTGAAGGTAAGGGCAGATCAGACATCAGGAGTCAGGGTCAAGTGGAGGGTGGCTGGGTTCAAGGGTGTGTGTAGAGCAGGGTTGCAAGGGTTTAGCGGGGGTTTATGCCATAGTTATATAGGTATCTAGGACATAGGATTAGCACGATCATAGGCGCGGACAAGTTTCATGGCATTCTTAAGATTAGAGAGAGGTTCCCATGTAGATTCTTCGTCGGGGTATCCGGTCCATTTGACTTTGTATTCAGTGATTGGTTCCGAATGATCAGATACCTGAGTGGTTCATCGGCCGATGATGGTTTTGACAACGAATTCAGGGCCTGTGGGTAGCATGATTGGTGGAGCTCTATGATATGGGCGGTCGGCGAACCGGGGCGGGGATTCATGGTATTCTTTTAGGTACTCGACATGGAAGACTTGGTGGACACGACTCATGTCAGGGGGAAGTTGGAGTTTGTAGTTGACGGGGGAGGTTTGTTCAGTGATGGTGAAGGGACCGAGCCATTTGTTGGAGAGTTTCTTGGACAAGCTGTGTTCGGGTTCAAAGCGTTTGGCGGAGAGCCAGACTTTGTCCCCTACTTTGAATGACACGTCGCGTCTATGTTTGTTAGTCTTGTTGGCTTGTTGTTCTTAGGTTCGTTCAATGACTTCAGAGGCTTCTCTCAGGAGTCTGTTCATTGTTGCTACCCATTCATTGAGAGAGGGGCAGGGGGTGGATGGATTAAGCTGCGAAGGAAGCAAGAAGTCAGAGGGCAAGCGAGGGTGGTAGCCAAGGTTGAGGTAGAATGGAGACATGCTGGTGGAAGGGCAGACGACATTGTTGTAGGCAATCTCGGCGGCTGTGCGCAACTGATCCCAATCCTGTTGATGAGAATGACAATACTTCCGCAGGATTCTTTGGAGAGTATCGTTCATCTTCTTTGTTTGTCCATCGGTCTGTGGATGGAATGCAGTGCTATACCTGAGCGTGGTTCCGTAGGCCGTGAAGAGGTGTTTCCAAAATTGTGAGGGAAAGCGAGGATCACGGTCACTGATGATGTTCTCGGGGAGCCGTGATGGCGAGAAACATGGTCGAAGAAAAGTGTGGCGACGTCTTTAGCACTGTGTGAGGTCGTGCAAGGGATGAAGTGGGCACGTTTGGTCAAGCGGCAGACAATGACGTAGATGCAATCATGCCCGAGGTCGGTCTTGGGAAGACCACACACAAAGCCCATGGAGATGGACTGCCAACGATGAGTAGGAATGGGCAGTGATTGGAGCTTGCCGGGTTTGGCCTGGTTCGAGGGATTAACGACTTGGCACGTGGGGCATAAGCGAATGTAGGGAAGGCCAGTAGAAGTAGCGGGAAATGGTGTCGAAGGTTTTCTGGAAACCGAGATGTTCTGTGGTCTTGGCGTCGTGGTGCTCGGCCAAGAGCTGAGTACAGAGGCCTCGTGCGTCAGGGATGCAAAGTCGGCGAGTGCCCTTGGAATCGTTGTAGAGGAGGTTGTTGTGGAGGGAGTAGTCGGGAACTGGGTCAAGATCGCGGAGCTTGTTGTAAATGGTGGCAAAGTCTGAGCAGGAGAGATAACCTTGGGTGTATCGATGATGAAGTGATGGAAGGAGTTAGATATGAGTCATGGCGGCGTAGACTTTCTCGGGGGCTTGTGGTCGGGTCGTCGAGAGAGGGCATCCGCAACGCGGTTGCTTTTGCAAGGGGTATGGCAAATGGTGAATGTGAACTAGGCAAGGAAGTCTAGCCAGCGGGCTTGGCGTGGAGTGATATCTTTCTTGGAGAGGATGGAGGAGACGATGGTGTTCTCAGTGCGGATGGTGAATTATTACCCGTCGAGGTACGGGTGCCAGACTTTGAGAGCGTGAATCACGACGAGGAGTTCCTTCTCATTGGAGGGGTAATTTATCATCGCGGGAAGGAGCTTCTTGCTTGCGAAGGCGATAGGGTATTCGCCAGGTGGAGCCTCGGGGTGAGTGGGCGAGTCCTTGATGGAAGGGGTCTCGGCGGTGTCGCGGGGGAAATGTTGGGACAGTACGGCTCCAATGGTGAAGTCGGAGGCGTCAATGGTGACATAGAAATGGCGAGTGGGGTCGGCGATCTTGAGGACAGGGGCCGTGGTGATGGTTTGCTTGAGGAAGTCGAAAGCGTGTTGACAGCGATCGTTCCAATGGAAGGGCTCGTCCTTGCGGGTGAGTTCGAGGAGAGGGCTCGAAAAAGTTGTGAATGAACGGGCGGTAATAGTTGGCAAGGTCGAGGAAGGAACGGAGTTGGAGGAGGGTCTTGGGTGGGGGGTACTCGACGAGGGTTGTGACCTTCGAGGGGTCCATATAGATGCCTTCAGCGGAGACAATGTGGCCGAGGTATTCGACACTCGAAGCGGCAAACGTACATTTGTTGAGCTTGGCGTAGAATTTTTACTCTTGGAGGATCGAGAGGACTTGGCGGAGGTGCTGAAGGTGGGACTCGAAGGTGGGGCTGTCATCAAGGTAGACGACGATACAGACTTCGAGGAGGTTGCGGAAGATGTGGTTCATGGTAGATTGGAAGGTAGCGGGGGCGTTGGTGAGACCGAATGGCATCACGAGGAACTCGTAGTGCCCAAACCGAGAGCGGAAGGCGTTCTTGTGGGTGTCCTCCTCGCGGAWACGGATCTGGTGGAAGCCACTGCGAAGGTCAATCTTGGTAAAGTACTAGGCTCCACGGAGACGATCAAGGAGCTCGAAAATCCGAGGTAGGGGGTACTTGTTCTTGATCGTGATCCGGTTCAAGGCGTGGTAGTCTGTCCACATGCGGAGTTCCGAAGTTTCACCTTTCTTGACAAAAAGGCAGTTGGTTCCGAATGGGGATGAACTTGGCTTAATGAACTCTTTTCAAGGAGTTCAACGAGTTGTCGCTTCATTTCTTCGGCTTCGGGGACAAAGAGTTGGTATGGAGGGCGTCAAGGTGGAGAATGTCCGGGTTCCAAATCGATGGTATGGGATACGCCACGATCCGGAGGTAGTCCGACGGGTAAGGACTCAGGAAAGACGTCCTTGAACTCGTCGAGGATTGAGGCGATGGCGGGGTTGGAGGGGGGGGTTTGATCGGGTTTTTCCATTAGGAGTAAGTCCTCAAGACTTTCGCGATCAAGGACAAGACTGTAGTAGGCGGAGTCGGGATTTAGGCGAGCCATGTGGAGGAAGTGGTGCGGGGTGACGGTGCCTTGGGAGGTCGGATATGGGAGATAGGGGATGTCGATAGTTGTGTCGGGGGGGTTGGTGAAGCGAAGGAAGTTGGGGTGGAATGCGTATGGCATGTAGCAGTCCAGCCACGGGGTTCCTAAGACGATGTCGCACATCAAGTGCATGACATCAAACGAGACCTGACTGCGGAGGGTTCCGACGGTCATGGTGGTCTCGGGAACCGTGTGGTCTACTACGACGGCAGTGTCTTTGTCCCCTAGGCGAATCGTGATCGGCGAGTCATAACCGGTAGAGGTAAGACCGACTTTGCTGACACACGCGTCGGTGATGAAGTTACCGGTGGCTCCACTGTCGAGGAGGGCCTGAAACTAACTTAGTTGTAGACACACCAAGGGTGGCGGCGATGAATCTGAAGTGGAAACGAGATGAGTTGGCGGTGGAGATGATAATGTTGAGGTGGCGTTGTTCATTGTGTAAGCGGACAAGCCGATCGTGCCGAGCTTGTTCCTCAACAACGTCGGAGAAGGTGACAATGGATGGGTTTGGAAGAAGGGTAGAGGAGCATGAGGCAGTGGGAGGCATTTGCGACACCTGGGAGTCGTCCGGTGGAGGGGGCGTCACCGGAGAGGGGGGAGGCAGACGAATTGTCGATGCCAGATGAGCCATCGGTGGGACGAAGGACGTCACCGATGGGTGGGCCGACAGACGCGATGTCGATGCCGGGACAATGTCCTGGGAACTGTGTTCATGATGAGGAGGGACTCGAGCTTGCCGAGGGCGGTGATGCGGAGGTTGCGGGTCGAGTGGAGGCGGACTGGCGGGTGAATTGTGCGGCCTTGGGGCAGTTGGTTTGTTGGTGCCCCAATTGGCGACAACGGAAGCAACCCCCGTTTGCTTGGAGGTAGGTGCGCTGCTCGGGGGTGAGTTTCTTGAGGCGGGAGGGKGGGGTAGATGAGGGTGGACGGGAGTTGCGATCTTTGCGCTCCATTCTCATGAATTGGATGACATTGAGTTCCTCGGGAGTGAGGGATAAAGAGTCGAGTGAATCGGAAGATGCATCGGGGTGAAGTGTGGTGAGCTCGTCTGAGGAAGGGATGGAAGTGGTGTCTTCAGGGGTGATGTGATGGAAAAAGCGGGTGCGGGACGGGGCGGGCGCGGGCGCGGGCTGGTGATGGGGGTGGAGGAGTTGATCGTGGTGAAGCATGCAAGAGAGGAGATCAGCAAGGGGTATGTCGGGTTTGTGGGCGAGGGCGATTACAAGGTCTTTGTGACATACTCGTTTGATGCGGGAGATGAACGCAAAGTCGGGAATGACGGTGGTGGGGAGGTGGTGGCGGAGGGAGCGGACATATTGGACGAAGCGGTCCGTGGGACCGGTCTGACGGAGGTGGCAAAATTGTTCAAGGTAGTCATCAATGGTTTTCTAGGGGCGGAAGGTGGCAGTGAGAAGGTTGGCCCATTGGAGGAATGAGTGACGTGGTCCTCCGGAGGCTCGGCAGTTGCTGACTTCAGCCATCCACCATTTGGCGGCATTGTCGAGGAGGCGGGAGGTGGCAATGGGGAGCTAGTGGGCAAGGGGCATGTGGTGGAGGTGAAAAGAGTTCTGGAGCTGGGTTAGGAAGAGGAAAACGTCCTCGTGGGGGAGGCCGGAGACGGACCTGATTTCGCCGGATCGGAAGGAACGAGGGATTTCCCCATCGCGGGAAACAATCTGGGCGAGGGTGTTAAAGTTGAGGTTATCGGGGGTGGTGTCATAGCAGATGTAGTCGAGTTGGTTGTTGTCCTCAAGGAGGTAGTTGGGAGGGAGTTGTGGCATTGCGGGGTAAACCCCGGAGGTGACTTGGGAATAGGTGGGACGGATGGTGGGGATGGTGGAGGTCGTCATGATGGGTTGGGGAAGGGTATGGGAGTGCGGGAGGGGAAGAGGGGTGACGTGGATGGGCGAGGAATGAGGCAGTGTGCTGGATGCGCCGGATGAGGGAGGAGGTGGGGAGAACGAAACGGTGGTGGAGGTTGAAGGGTTGGTGGATGTGGTGGTAGAGGTGGTAGGAGTGGAGGAGGTCGGCGGGGGGGTGTTGCTGGAGGCGGTTGTGGAGGAGGGAGTGGTTTGCGCTGTGGAGGAGGGAGTGGTTTGCGCTATGGAGGATGGAGGTGCGGCCGTGGTGACGACCGTGATGGACGGGTTGTCCCCTTCGAGCGCGGTGACGCGGTCGGATATGGACGACATGGTGGCCTTTATGTCGTCCGGTGATGGAGGTTTGGAAGGTGTTGAGTGCGTGGAGGATGGTGGAGAGGTCGGGGGTGGCGGTGTTTGTTGGTGGTTGTTCGCCTGCGAGGTTGTGGGCGATGCTATCGACCGAGTCGGTGCGGATGTCCAACCTGTTGATGGAGGATGCGGTCATGTCGGGGGAAGAGGGGGTGGAGGACGCGGCCTGAACGGAGGTGGAGGATGCAGCAGCAGCGGTGGCGGCGGCAGCAGCGGCGGCGGCGGCGGCGGCGGCAGCGGCAGCGGCGGCGGCAGCGGCGGCGGCGGCGGCGGCAGCGGCGGCGGCACGTTGGGAGTTCTTGGTTTGGCGTGGTGGCATGCAGAGGTGGGGAGGGCAATCCCTTATTTATTTATCAATAAATTCAAAAATAAAGATAATTGCCAAGATTTCTTGGAAAGTAGGGAATTAATATTGAATAAATAAATTTATTCCAATTGGAATTTTATTTATTCGAAATTAATTTGGGTCGAACAAAATTTTGAAGGATCCGAAGGAGAGATTTACAAAATTCGTTGTTCAAAATATTAGTAGAAAATAATTTTGAATTTATTTCTAAATTTATTTACGTGAAATTTCAAAATATCTTCGAATTATAGAAAAAGAATTAGGAGGTGGAATTTTAAAAATTTTCGTTGAAATTTTGGAAAAATAATAATCAATTCCGAAGGAAGGGATTAATTCCAAACGTGAATTTAAAGAAATGTCGGCAGAGAAAAGAAATTTTGAGATAATTTCGTAAAAATAAGTAATTAATTTCAAAGTTCAAAATGTGAATTAAAATTTTCGAAAAAGGGCTAATTATGAGTTCCAAAAGGATTCCAAGGAATTTGGAAAGAAATTAAGGGTATTGCAATCAGACTCGACTTATTCACTCTTTTCATGCACGTGAACAGCAACACACAATTGGTGACATGCGCCCACACCGTACACAGAGATATGTCTCCCAGGTAAGTTCGCTTCCACTGGCTATGGCGACTAAGCGCCCAGACAACTCACTGTTCACACTTTGGATCACCCTGGATGTCCCACACGCAACACGCAACACACACACACACACACTACTACAGCTATGGCAGCGCTAGCTGCCACTACCCTAGCGCTATACTACACTTTTGCCCACTTCGTCGTCGSRCGCACTRCAGACCTCCTCGCACAAGCTGCTGAGGCAGCGCTTCCGCATGGCATCCGCAGGAATGAATGAATGGCTGGACGCAGCCTCTTGATTTATACTTCTGCGCTGCGTTGGTCTGCCCCATACCCCTTGGCCCAYGATGAGCACACAGTCCCAGACGGTACTTGCTGGACAGGACCGGACTGACTAAYTGGGACTATTCTACCACCACTTGACCACTTGCCTCGGTTGAATGCAGGCCTACTCCGAAAGGCCACTTCTAGAAGTGTCTAACTTGGCCTTTCGGTACTGTAGCAGCTACGACYTTGCCCTTTCAGGTAAGTAGCAGCTACGACCTTGACTCCTCAGGCAGCCTACAGCTACGACTTCGGAACTGTCTAGACTCCTACTCTACAGGTCTACAGTTCGATTCCCTTCTACCCTATGACCTACGACAAACTGCCTACCACTGGCGTTCCTACAGGTCGCAGGTTCAAGTCTACAGGCTGACACTGATACTATACACAGGTAAGACGGGGATCTAGGGATCGAGCCCTGGGATCTGCATTCGCTACTGCGAACTGGTGAATACTGTTTCACTTCCGCCGGCCTAAATTCGAGGTCCTCCGAGAAAACTTCAGTCCAAGGCAGGACCTTTCCCCTTTTGCTGTCTCTCGTAGGCTCGGACTATATCGGGAGCTGTCTCTAACAGTTCAGACCTTGTAAACCAGCGGTCGTCATCCGGTTCCTGATAACTAAAATGAACCTTATACTGTTTCTGTGGACGACCCCTACCTCCAGTTCTGAAGACATCTTCAGCCACTATGCCATCTATGTCATATCTCCCATCCATATCCGGTGGGATCATCGATCTACGGGATGGAAACTGATCACTTGTTTGACAAGGTAGTAACTTCGATGCGTGAAAAACTGGGTAAGTGTGGAGGTGTGCTGGTAACTCTATGGTGTAGGACGGTCCATCTTCGCCGCCCTTGACTTCCAGAACAGGCCACGGTCCTCTATACGTGGGCAGTAACTTCTGTGAGATGTTCTCCTCAGGTGCAAACTCTTTAGAACTAACCCAGACTAAGTCGCCTACTTGAAACTGTGAAGGGCGATGATGTTTTTTCGCTTGGTCTATCATCCTATGCTGGGCTTTCCTGAGGTTTTCTACGACAGTAGCTAGTTCTTTCTCGTGCTGTACAGCAAACTCCCTGGTCCCGGGCGGCAATCTGTGAATCTGATCCCGGTTGAGTCCTTCAAACGGTCGGCGCGGTCGGAAGGACTTGTGCAGTTCGTTGGGAGTGCGGCATGTAGACAGATGCACGCTGTTATTGTACGCGCTAGCTACTTTGGGCAATATCTCATCCCAGTTAATCTGATCTGGCCTAATATACATGCGCAGAACTTGCTGTAGGATCTTGTTCATTTGCTTTGTCTGACCGTTAGTCTCTGGATGACGGTCGGACGACATCAACAACTTAGATCCATACACTCCCATGAGTTCTTGCCAGTTCTGGCTGGTGAAGCGACTATCCCTATCGCTAACGATTGACAGCGGGATTCCATTCTCACTAACCCAGCAGTCAAAGAATCTCTGTATAACTAAACTAGTACGTGCCTCTGAAGGCAAAGGAACAAAAACGGCGTATTTACTAATATGACCATGACTTGGCTCTTGCCATGCCTGCTCTTGACGTGAGTGTCCATGAAGTTGATGGACACTGAGTCTCCCGGCTGATCCGGAATGGGCAAGGGTCTGAGAAGACCTAGCGGGGCGCGTGTAGAACTCTTGTTACGTTGGCAGACTTTGCAACTGCGAACATACTCTACGCAGTCATTCTTCATTCCTGGCCAGGTATACGCGCGCATGAGATTGGCTAAAGTCTTTTGCCAACCGAAATGACCCTCTGTATCATGGCATTCTCCCAGGATCAAACTACGGATCTCCTCGCTATTGGGGATGCACAGGCGGTTAAACACGTTAGTCTTCTCAAAAAGCAGCCCTTTTGTAGTGCGGTAGTTCGGTTCGGTCTCTGGGGCCTCCCTGACTCGTGCGAGGAGCTCGCTGTAGATAGGGTCCTGCGCATAGGCTTCTCTAACCTTCTGCTGTAGGTCCTTCCCTATATCGAGGTAATGCACTATCGCCCCAAAGTAATCTGCCCTCCTACTCAGAGCGTCCGCAACTACGTTGTACTTCCCTTTGACAGGCTTGAGCTCAAAGTCGTACTGATCTATTTCTGCGGCCCACCTCGTAAGCTTAGGTGTCATCTTGGCCTGCGTCTTTAACCATCGTAACGTTTCATGGTCAGAATAGACTTTGAAGTGCCTCCCAAGCAAGTAGTGCTTCCAGTGGTCTAACGCTTGCCTGAGAGCGTAGAGTTCCCTCTCATAGGTAGATGTCGCGACCTTCTCTGAAGGCATTCTAGCGGACATGAACTCTACGGGTCTATACCTATTGCCATCATCTTGCTGTAACACCGCGCCTATGCCATACTGGCTAGCATCCGTAGTGACGACAAAGGCAAGGACGGATCGGCGACCTTAAGGACCAGATACTATATCAATGCCTGCTTCAATTTCTTCATAGCAGACGTGCAGTCCTTGTCCCATTTCCAGATTGTCTCTTTTCTCAGCAATCTGCGAAGGGGCGCAGCGATGGTGGAGAAGTTCCTCACGAACTTCCTGTAGTAATTCGCTAAGCCCAGGAACGAGCGCAACTCTGTCAGCGTACGTGGCGTGGGCCAATCTCTAATCTCTGCGATCTTGCTATCCTCTGTCTTAACGCTATCTCCGTCTAAGACGTGTCCTAGATACAAAACTTGGGTCTTCGCCCAATCGCACTTCTTCACATTGATCTTGAAGTTAGCTTCCGTCAGCTTCTCCAAGACCTGCCTGAGATGACGGAAGCTTCTCCAAGACCTTCCTGAGATGACCCTGATGCTCTTCGAGGGTCCGGCTAAACACTAGGATGTCATCTAGGTAAACTACAACAAATTTGTCTAACCACGACCTGAACAAATCGTTCATACAGCGCTGGAACGTTGCGGGCGCGTTGGTCAGTCCAAAGGGCATCACTATAAACTCATAATGCCCATACCTAGTCCGGAAGGCGGTCTTATGATCATCAGGATGTACCTCTATCTGATGATATCCGGACTTCAAATCTATCTTGGAAAAATACTTCGCCCCCTGCACTCGATCTAAAAGATCGTCTATCCTCGGCAGTGCCTCAACATTCTTCACTGTAATAGCGTTCAGACCCCTATAGTCTATGCACATTCTCAGCCCTCTCTCCTTCTTAGGAGCAAAGAGGACAGGGGCTCCAAAAGGAGATGAACTGGGCCTAATCCAACCCTTCTCGAGGAGCTCGTCCAATTGCTTGCGAAGCTCTTCTAACTCCCGTGGGGACATCCTATACACAGCGCCCTTAAGAGTTCTACTGCCAGGCTCTATCTCAATGCGGTGCTGGATGGGCCGCGGCACCGTACCCGTCGGCGGCTCAGTTAAATCTTTGAACTCTTCCAGCAGCTTGGCAATTGCAGGGTCGATTGGCTTTTCTTCCGTAGGCTCAGTGACTGGCCTAACATAGGCAACAAAAACCTGTTCCTCCAACTTCTCCTTTTTCACCAGTCTGGCGAACGCGGGGGCACTAAGGCAGCAATGCGCCAAGGAATTCTCTACCCCTGACACATGGAACAGGCGGGCAGTCTTGGCCTCGCCTGCAGAACTAGGGGGCCTACACTCGTGCTCCTTCAAATGGAGCGTGGCCCCGACTGCCTCTCCCCAATCCATTCCCAGAACAATATCAAAGGGGAGGCTGTCTTCTACGAGGAGAGTCAGGGAGTGGAGAATCTTTTCCATTTTCCCATCTTTCTCTAGGCGGAAATACGCCTGGACTCCCTCTACGTAATCCTCTACAACCATAGTGCGATTGTCCGCGAGGATGCTAACTATAGGGTCTGCTAGCTTTTGGACTTTAAGTCCCAGCTTCAACTTCTGCAGCGCTTTCATACTGATATAGCTGCGGGTGGCCCCTGAATCTACTAGGGCTCCTACTCCTAAAAATCTCTGTATCTAGCAATATAAGCTGCCCTTTATTCTCCTTCTTCATCTTGGCCCAGGCGGGCATCCTTTCCTTCAACTCTTCGGCCACGCCTGTGAGGGAGGTGTCTAGCGAAACTCTAACACAAGCAGTTTCGGGACAATTGTCTAGACATCGGCCTGCAACCTCTGTCGTAGGCACATGTGGTGTGGGAGTCTCCTGCCGGCTAGCGCTATTTTCCCCACATGGCCTAGTGGTAGGGGCAGTTGCTACCCCTACCGGCGGCTGCCTTTTGGCCCTTGGGCAGCCGTTCGGGTCTCTCTATACTTAGGACAATATTTGATGATATGGCCCGGGTCACCGCAGAAAATGCACTGGCCCCGGTCCAATCGTTGTTGCCATAAAGCCTGGTCCAGACCCAAAGATTCCCAAGGCCTACCCTAAGGTAGCCCTGGGTGCCATCCTCCTACTCTATAGGGAGACCTATTCGACCCCTGCCTCCCGCTTGGCGGTTTCCTCCTCTGCCGCCAACCCCCTGATCGCCCTGGAACCGGCTCCCTAAGGCCCGGCCCCCTTGGCCCTGGCCTCTTCCTCCTGGCGGCCTCCCTCCAGCCGCGACAGCAGCGTAAGTCCTCCCCTGGCCCACACTGCTGTCCTCCTCCTCTAACCCCCACTCGATCTGTTCGTAGGGGGTCTCATCCACACTACCCTCATCTAAGGTTAGGACAAGGCTGTCCTTGGTCTTTACTTGCCCTGAGATAGTGCGGCCCTTCCATTGCTTACCCTTGTCCAAGTCCTTGTGCCWGAAGGTGGAAAYTGACATAGACTTKGCCTCGAAAGCCAMCACCTCACGACTAAGGGAATCGTAAGTGGTGGCAGGGTCTTCGCTCTTCGCGAAGAAGTGCCCGCGAAAAGCTTCGGGCATCGCTCTATAGAAGAGAGCAACCAACTRGGTGTCTGTAACCCCGTGGTCAGGGACAGCTACTAGTTCGTCCATTGTGCTCTTGAGTGCCYTRRCACTCTTCCACTTACGGGCATGGATCGTCTGAAGCTTGTCCGAGGCTTTGACACTTCGAGCGACATTAGCAAATCTCTTGCGCAACAATTTCATGAACTCAGCGAGGGAGGTGAATGACGAATAGGCAACTGCATCATCGTTGCAGTTGGCGGCGCGGACTAGGGACCTTGCAAAGATGGCAGCTTCGTCTCTGAGCGCGTGGATCGCAATCAAGACATGCTGATCCGGGGAGACCTGTTGCAAGTGCACATAGGTCTTAACGTTGGCCTCCCAGTTGTCAAAGTTCTCTTCCCTCTTCCCGCTGTAGGAATCGAGGAATTTGACCTTGACCGGCTCCCGACGAGGAGGACGTGCTTCCTCCTCCTTGGGAGCTGCCACTTTGACGCCTTCAATGGCGCCAACACAAAAACGCTCAGTCTTCTCGAGGCGATGATTCACCTCGGCCCCTACGGCTCCTATCAGTTCGCGCGCAAAGTCCTGGAATCCCATTCGCATCGAGCGCACAACTATATCCTGGCTTCGGCTAAACTCGTATTGCTGCTCTTGTATCTTTGCTAGCCGCTCGACGCTCTGGGCGAGTATCTCTACCTTTCGTTCGAGATCTACCTGAGGGGTCAACTTTAGACTTACTTTCTGCATTTCTTCTAACTCCCTGACCGCCTCACTCGCCGCATCCACCCTTCTCTTCTTCTCCCTCATCGTGGCAAGTTTCCACTTTATCCTCTGTTGATCCTCCAGTGCCTGTCGCCTAAGAGGGTCTTTCTCCGCATCCCAAGCCTTCATAGCAGCCTCTTGGTCATCCTTTGGGATGTACATCATCACCTCTTCTTCCTCGCCCAGGGWCAAGTTGGCKACCCACTCYGAAATCTTCTTCTCCAGGTCCCCACCATTGCTGCCACTGTGCTGTCCACTATTCTTTTGCAGTGGCGAACCTTCCTCTTCTTCATCCACCTCCTTCAGCTTCTCTTCTTCTTCCTTTTTCAACCTCTCTTTCTCCCTGGCCATCTCTTCTTCCATCTTCTTTAATTTGGCCGCCTGTTCCTCTTTCAAGGCCTTCTTCTTGGCCTCCTTCTTCTCCTTCCTCTCCTGCAGCATGGCGGCCATCTTCTCCCCCTCCTCCTTCATGTAGAGGTTGGTGGAAGTACCACCATGAGTACCTACTCTACACGTCATCGCGTGCCAGAACCCCAGAGGAAAGAGGAGACGCCAGAGGGTCCCCCAGAGGGAGAACCCAACAAGCAACCCATACATCGGAAAGTCATCCATCGTGGTATTGGTGCACGACAAAGGTCCCACTCCTCACCACGTAGACCTACCCGGACACACTGACCTACTGACTGACTCCCTAAGGACCACAGGGTAAGACCCTGTCAACTATGGTCACTACGAACCCAAGACTACTCTAAGTCTGTCACTACAGAACCAAGAGCGGATCATGAGGCATTTAAGGAGATCCCCTAAACTCTGCAAGAATTCTTTAATGTCGGACACAGGACGACGCGATCAGCTTGGTTCCTCTGGCGATTTCAGCCCACAACTCMGCCCGTCCAGCCTCCTGTGCCACACCGAGCAGCCCGCCGGTCAGTACCGGTCCTTGGAGGGGTTCGTGTCTCTCGGGTCAGTCGAGTCGTCAGACACGGATCATCAGCCTTCTGGGTCCGGTAGGGGAGTGGCTCAACCAGGCCTCAACACTTAAAGACGGCCCTCGTTTCAGCCCACAGCTCGGAGTTCGGACCCTCCACCCTGAACTTAGTAGACCTGCCGGATAGTACCGGTCATTGGGCTAGACGAGTTGTTTAACAAGCGCTCGCCGCTCATGCCCAGGTCTCCAAGTGCCAGAGTAGAGCTTTGGTCCTACTAAGCCCGTGCAGGTTTGGCAGCAAGGCCCTATCCTTCATCCACAGATTCCTAGCACCTAGGACAGAAGAGACTCAATGCAGAAAGAGTAGACAGACAGACTCAGCAAGTACCGTGGGGTAAGTGCACATCCACAAGGTAAGGGGATAGGCTGAGGGTTCAACGAGATATCACCAACTCCAGCTTGGTCACAATCTTGGTCAGCAGCTCCGGTCAACGCCTTGGTCAACGCCGACTCAACGCGGACAAGCCCCGATCAACGCTTGGTCAACCACCCTCGTCAACGCCCTGGTCAACCCTCTGGTCAACGGCCTGGTCAACCCTTCACCTCGGCTATGGCTGCAGGCACCTTCACCTTCGTCACCCTCGCCGTCTACTTCCCCGTCCTTCACTTTCTTTCTCTTCACTTCCGCTGTATTTTTTTTATTTTTATTTTTTTGTGCTCGCCCCCGGCTATGTCTGTCTTCTTCTCCAACCTCCTCCTTCCACACTTCTTCTTCTCTCTCCTTAGTCCCTCCTTCTCTGTCCTCCCTTTCTCTCTCCTCCGGCACTCTATGTCAA